CTTTTTTTTTTTTATGTCACAATAATTCTTGTGAAGCTTGTGTTGAGCAATAATTAATGGAGGCACTAGTTTGACAATTATAAAAATATACAAGTGGTAGCTGACCCTTTTCATTTATTTCTTTATTTGTCGTGGATTTTATTTCATTTTTTTAGAAAAAAAAAAACATTTTCTCACATATTTTCTTCTGCCCTTTCTCAGATCTGCTGCTATATTTGCTTTTCTGGTTTATCATTTTCCTGAGATTAAAGACAAGGGCTGGTTCTAATGTCGTCTCTCAGTAGAGAGCTGGTTTTCCTGATCTTACAGTTCTTGGATGAAGAAAAATTCAAGGAGACAGTTCACAAGTAAGTTATGATTGTAGGACAAGTGTCATTATAGGTGTTTGCGTTGCCAATTTTTATTTTTATTTTTTAAAATAATCGTCTATTTCTGGGGAGTATTTAACTATTTATGTAATAAATAATAATTGTGTGTTTTTAATTTACTTCATTAATGGGTCATTTCTAATTATAGGCTTGAACAAGAATCTGGGTTCTTCTTTAACATGAAGTATTTTGAGGATGAAATTCACAATGGGAACTGGGATGAGGTGGAGAGGTACCTCTCTGGTTTCACTAAGGTGGACGATAATCGTTACTCGATGAAGATCTTTTTCGAAATCAGGAAACAGAAGTATCTTGAGGCATTGGATAAGTGAGATTATGTCTTAATATGAAAAATCTCAATTGTATCTAGAGGAATTTTAGAAAACTGCATTTTTTTTTTGGATATTAATGTTTATTAACTTAAAATGAAGGCATGATCGGTCGAAAGCCGTCGAGATCCTTGTGAAGGATCTTAAAGTGTTTGCCTCGTTTAACGAGGAGCTTTTCAAGGAGATAACTCAGCTGCTGACATTAGAGAATTTCAGGTATTCTTATTATGATTTCTATTTCTATTTATTTATGCCCAATGTGGTAGAAAAACGAGCAACCTTCTTGAGCTGCCCTCGATGTTTATTAGGGAGAATGAGCAGTTATCAAAATATGGAGACACGAAATCCGCAAGAGCTATCATGCTTGTCGAGCTTAAGAAGCTAATCGAGGCTAATCCCCTTTTTCGCGACAAGTTACAGTTTCCAAACCTCAAGAACTCAAGATTACGAACTCTCATCAATCAAAGGTGGATTTCAAACACTTAATTTTGTGTGTAAATCATCGTTTTTCATATTTTATGAAGAGCAAATTGAGACAATAATATGCATTTATTTGCACACAGCTTAAATTGGCAGCACCAACTTTGTAAAAATCCAAGATCGAACCCGGATATCAAAACCCTCTTCGTGGATCACTCATGCGGGCAGCAAAATGGTGCGCGTGCACCATCACCAGCGAATAATAATCCCCTGCTTGGCGGGCCCATGCCAAAGCCCGGTGGCTTTCCTCCTTTGGGTGCACATGTGGTGAGTTTTTTTTAAGGATGTTCATTGACTTTTGTGTTAGTGTTTTTATTTATTTGGCTTATTTTAATTGTATAAAATGATTGTGATCAGCCCTTTCAGCCTAATCCGTCTCCTGTCCCGACACCACTTGCCGGTTGGATGTCTAATCCGCCCACCGGAACTCATCCAGCTGTTTCTGGTGGGCCCATTGGGCTCGGAGGCCCACCAATTCCAGGTAGAAAATTTTATAGGAGGAAAAAATTTGGTGATTTTGTGATGAAAATAGGTTACATGGTTTTAAAAGAGTATAAATTGAGTGACGTTAATTTTTGTTGCATTGTGTGTGTAGGTGCACTTAAGCACCCAAGAACACCACCGACAAATGCTGTTGAATTTTCATCTGTTGACTCTGAACATGCGATCAAACGAACGAGGCAGTTGGGAATTTCTGATGAGGTGGTAGATTTTCTTTCTAATGTTCTTTTTTTTTTTTCCAAGTTCTGATCTTTTTGTTATTTGTATATTTATCATAAGCAGGTAAATCTTCCGGTGAATGTTCTTCCGGTGTCTTTCCCAGGGCACTCTCATAGTCAGCCTCCTTTCAACGCGCCAGATGACTTGCCTAAGACAGTTGCGCGTACTTTGAACCAAGGCTCGTCTCCTATGAGCATGGATTTTCACCCCATTCAGCAAACTTTACTTCTTGGTTGGTTATAAAAATCCAGATAAATATATATTCTGTTAGCATTTTTTTCTTCTTTTTGCCTTTTTGTTGTCTTTGTAATAACATGATAACTCTCAGTTGGTACCAATGTGGGAGATATTGGGTTGTGGGAAGTCGGTTCGAGAGAGAGGCTCGTCTTGAGAAATTTCAAAGTGTGGGATGTGAGTGCTTGCACGTTGCCTCTACAGGTGTTTCTTCTTGTGAAATTTCATCAAAAACTACTTTATCTTGTTATGAATTATGATTATTCAGCTGAATGTAAAAAATAAAAAAATAAAAAAAATCTCTACTTACTCTCCAGGCCAGCCTGGCGAAAGATCCTGGTGTCTCTGTCAATCGTGTGATTTGGAGCCCGGATGGGTCTTTATTTGGTAAAAATGGGGCTTTCATTTCAAGAAAGTTTATTTTTTTTTGTGGATGTGAAAGTGGTTTGATTTTGAGTGATGTTTCAACTTTCTCTTTTTTAATAGGAGTTGCGTATTCAAGGCACCTTGTGCAGATCTATTCGTATCATGGGAATGATGATATTCGCCAGCACTTGGAGGTGCATTTCCAATTCTTTTACCGTATTCTACTGATTTGCTTACTAGTGTTGTTTTTTCTCTCATGTTTGTTGGGTGGAGTTTCTAAAATTCTTTCCTTTAC